AGGTACTACAGCCACATCACCTTTCTTAGTACCTGCCTACAGAACCATTTCTGATGAAGGGTCTAGGCCTGAAACGTCAGCCTTCCTGCTCCTCTGATGCTGCTTGGCCTGCTGCGTTCGTCCAGCTGTACACCTTGTTATCTTTTCCTCCCTTTTGTTGTGTTTTAAGTATTGTTTGAATAAATTTGTCCTTTTGCTTAACGTCGAATAGTTTGACCAGTCAACTTGCATCTGGAACACAGCACTTTACATTTACCTTTATAAAATAAGAAAAAGTTAGGGTCTAGTCTACTTTCATATTGAGAGGGGGGTCTGGTCTGGTCCATAACAGACTCCTGTAGCTGATTTTAAGAAGCAAATAGATTAGTTACATTTTTGAGAGTTTTACTTTTTTTCCCTTTATTTCTTGGCAGGATCCGGCTCAGTCAGTTGGTTTCCATCCCAGTGGGTCTGTTGTTGCTGTGGGAATGCAAACTGCAAGGTAAGGGTGCTTTGAGTAATTGCTGAATGCAAATCCGATTATTTATTCGTTGTGTTGCAGGCACAACTAGCTGTCTCTTAATTTTCATACCCATCGTAATGTGATAATACTCATGCTTATGAGAGGCATGCCTGATGCACAGTCAGTTGTTAGGGTTCCCCGATTTAAGAATCAGAGGTATAGATAAGGTGAATGACCAGTGCCTTTCGCCCTAGGGTGGGGGGTTGGGGGAGTTCAAAACTAGGGCGTATGTGTTTAAAGTGAGAGGAGAAAGATTTAAAGGCATTAGGGATAACTTTTTTTTTGGAGTGGTTCGTGTGTGGAATGAACTTCCAGAGGAAATGGTGAATACAGGTACAGTTACAGCATTTAAGAGATTTTGGTAGGTACATGATTGGGAAAAGTTTGAAGAGATATAGGTGAACTGCTTGCAGGTGGGCCTAGTTTAGTTTGGGAACATGGTTAGTGTGGAGTTGTTGGACCAAAAGGTCAACACAGAATCCTGCTGGAGGAACACAGCAGGTCAGGCAGCATCAGAGTCGATGTTTTGAAGGGTCCCGACTGAAAAGTTGACTCTCCTGCTCCTGTGATGCTGCCTGACCTGCTGTGTTCCTCCAGCTCCATTCTGTATTGACTCTGACTCCAGCATCTGCAGTTCTTGTTATCTTCTGGGCCAAAAGGTCCGTTTCCATGCTATATGACTCTATCTTGGTGTCATATTCTGCTGTGGGACTTCACCTTATTCGGCAGGCCAATTCTTGCTCTGCAGATCACCTGGGCACATGGAGCAGGGCATCCCACAGGGTAATGGGACTGGGAGAGCAAGATTGGCTCCATTTTTCTTTCCTTCTCTGCTTCCATTATTTAAGACTTTGAGACTTCCAAGTAAAGTACAGCTTTGGGTATGTCATCACCATTTTTTTGGGTTTTTTTAACAGTTTTGGGAGCGTTTGCTTCCCTGTCATTAATGCCTTGAATATCAGGGACAGCATCAGGAGTGTCTTTGAAACATTTCTCTTCTGGAAGGCTGACTAGAGTTGAGAATATTGGTAGCCTGGTAGTGAGGCAGAAGGAACTGAAAACAAAAGTTCATTACGAAAAAACAGTTTGAAGTGAAATTTCTAAAAATCCTCACTTTATTTATAATTTAATATGAAGCCTGTAGTTCCTCAGTGCCACGTCTGTTACTGTTGTTTTTTTCCATTTTTGGTATATGAATGTTGTTGGCAAAGCCAGCATTTGTACCCCATCCCTAATTGCCCTTGTGAAGGGGGTGGTGAGCTGCTGCCTTGAACCATTGAGGACCATGTGCTTTTTAAACTGTGCGGCAATTTTCAGACAACTGCTCGGGCCATTTCAGAAGAAAACCACATTGCTGTGGATCTGGAGTCATGTGTAGGCCAGACCACGTAAAGACAGCAGGTGGATTTTTAATGACAACAGTTTCACTCTTGCCATTTCGAGACCACCAATATTCATGAACTGAATTTCCCCAGATGCTGTAGTAGTCTGTAGTGAAACTGTGGAATTCTTTAACCCGTAAGGCTGTGTCGGCAATGTCAAGTATACTCCAGGCTGAGACAAACCAATTTTTAATTGGGGGTGGGGGTAGGGAAGGCAGTAAAGTGGAGTTAAAGGTTCATAGATCAGCTGTGAGCTCAGTGAATGGTAGAACCGGTTTGAGGGGCTAAATGGCCTACTTCTGTCTTATGGTTTTGTTGATTCAGGCCTCTGGATTATTGTGTTTATACTTAGCCTTTAAGAGAATTCCTGTTTTTTTTAAAAGGAACCCGTATGTTGTGTGTATACAACGTGTGACTCTGCCGGCCTGTCTTTGTTTGTAAGCTAAGCACTCGCTCAAATCAGTTAGTTTTGATGCAATATCTGCTTCATAATCTGTAATGTTTTACACTGTTTTAAATAAACTAATCCATGAATTTAATCAATCCCTAATGAGTTTTTCTTTCTTAAACCCTTTAGTGTTGACAGTAACACTTTGCTACCTTACCTTTTATCTCTGCTGTGCCTGAGGGTCCGTTGCATTCACTAGTGCTCACTGATATGGAAAGGAAATATTTCTGTCTCGAACACAGTGGGGTTTGATGTGTATGTGATCTTCCTCTGCTCAAATGAACACTCTCTCTATTTCAGCCTGGATTCAAGGGGATGGCTCTTCAGGGAGGTTCTGTATACAATAGTTGAAGCACAAAGGTGTAACATTGAGGCAATTGTTTGTGCCATTTTGTGTAGAGTGAGTTGTGCACAAGGCTACTTTTTGCTCTTATTAAAAACTGAAAGAACTGCAGATGCTGTAAATCAGACAAAAACGGAAATTGCTGGAAAAGCTCAGCAGGTCTGCCAGCATCTGTGGAGGGAAAATCAGAGTTAACGTTTTGGGTTATTTGATCCTTCCTCAGAACTATACCTGAAACATTAACTCTGATTTCTCTCCTCAGATGCTGCCAGACCTGCCGAGCTTTTCTAGCCATTTGTGTATTTGTTTCTAATTTTTGCTCTTTACTTCCTCCCTGTTCACACTAGAGATTTTATTTCAAAAGTATACTTAGTCAAAAACACAGTTTTTTGGTTCTGTATAGTACCATACCAGAAAACCAAAACATAAGAGTTTGACTCCAGCTATGTCTTTGGTTTGTTGGATAGGGATCACCTAAAACTACACTGTCCCTGATCTAACACCTGCTCTCTGGCTCTCTCTCAGTCCCACGGACTCGTCACTCTTGTTTGCTGACCTACACTGGCTCCTGGTCCGGCAAAGCTCAGTAATTGGGGGGTGGGGTTGGGGGGGAACGGTGGCAAACATTCCCTGTTTTCCAATTCCTTCAATTTCTATATTCCCCTCATTCTAACCAGATGAGCAGCCTAATTTTTATTGCTCTGCTATTAACAGCTGTGCCTTCAGTTACCTGAGCACTAAGCTCTGAAACTTCCACCTGTTTCCCTCCCCTATTTAAAACTAACCACTTTTGGCCAGGCATTTGATTGCCTGTCCTACAATCTCTCCCTGTGAGTTTCTGTAAATTTTGACAGGAGCCTTTTTTTTTTGCGTGCTTACTTACTCGTGATAGCATCAACTGTGACTCTCATGCTCTCTATCTGGCTCTTGTCTCCTGCAGGTGGATGGTTTTTGATGTTGAAACGAAGGATCCCATCACCGTGCATACAGATGGGAATGAGAAGCTGTCTGTGATGAGCTACTCCCCAGGTACATGAACTCTCAGGCACACCATTTATCAAACAAGCTGACCAGCCAAATCAGGGCAAACCAGAAAATTCCGGCTGAGGAATTTTTGGATTTGAAGAGTTCTGAGCCTTTTTTTATCATCCCGTTAAATGCTGCCTTCCTATTCACTTTGGTTGAATCCATCTGATCAATTTGACTAGGCACTTAAACATCTAGCATTGGAAGGGATAGTAGGAGAATTTACAGACCATGAATGTACTTCACACAAGTGGTGTTTGTTTTTTCTTTGTTTGTTTGCTTTCAATCTTATGGACTGAATGGCCTCCTTCTGTCCCTGGCTCCTTCCTGTTGAGTATGGTTTCTTCAGGTCTTGACACAAGCTCAGGCCAGGCTGCTTAGTTTAAGTGTCACTGTTTGTCCTTCTTGATAAGAGGCACAGAACATTCTCTGAAAAGAGCACCTCTGACAGTACGGCATCCTCTGTACCGCATGAGTGTCAAAACATAGATAAGAATAGGAGTAAGACTATTGGGCCCCTGGAGCTTGTTCTGTCATACAATAGGATAGTGGCTGATAGTCACACAGCACAGAAACAGACCCTTCAGTCCAACCAGTCCACACCAACCACGTTCTTAAACTAAACTAGTCCCACCTGCCTGTGCTTGGCCTTTATCCCTCCAAATATTTCTTATTCACGATCTTATCCAAATGTCTTTTAAATGTTGTAACTGTACCTGCATCCACCATTTCCTCTGGCAGTTCATTCCACACACGAAACACTGTGGTTTTTTTTAAAAGAACGGTTGCCCCTCGTATCCTTAAATCTTTCTCCTCTCCCCTTTAAAAATATGCCCCTAATTTTGAACAATCTGACATTCCTCGTGTCCACTTTCCTGCCTTTCTTCACCACAACCCTTTGATTTTTAATCTGTTGGGGAAACCATCTCCACCTAAAATAAACACCAGGGTTCTGCCCCCATAGCTCCTGGTAAGAGGTCTCAACCAAAGACAGTCAACCCTCAGAAGAAATTCCTTATCATTTTAAATTGCCCCTTTTATTCTGACACCATACCCTCTGGTCCTAGACTTCCCCTTGAGGGGAAACCTTCTCTCAGCATTTACCCTGTCAAGCCCCTTAAGAATCCTATCTGTTTCAATGAGATCACCTCTCATTCTTCTTCAGTTCAGTGAGTAGAGTCCCAACCTGTTTAGCCTTTGTCCATAAAGCAATCCCTTCTTAACCTGGATCATCCTAATGAACCTTCACTGAACTGTCTCCAATGAAATGATATGTACCCTTAAATAAGGGGATCAAAATGGCTCACAATACTCCAGATGTGGTCTCACCAGTAGCTTGTCCAGTTGCAGTAAGACTTTCCTACTCTTGTATTCCAATCCCCTTGAAATAAGGGCTGACATTCCATTAATTTTCCTGATTACCTGCTGTGCTAGCGTTCTGTGTTTTGTGCACAAATTTCCCCAAGTCCCTCTTTTAGGTTGCAGTCTTTCTTCTCTTAAATAATACGCTGTTCTTTTTGGTCACCCTTCCAAAATGAACAACTTCACATTTTCCCACATTATACTCCATTTGCCAACTTGTCCACATAATTAACCTAGCAATATTACTCTGTAAACTGCAATTGTCCCCTTGGCAGCATGCCTTTCCAATCTGTTTTTTGCGTTGTCTGCCGTTTGCCTACAGTGCATTTCACTTCCTACCTCCAAGTCATTAATGTATATTGTGTAAATAGTTGCGGTCCCTGTGGAATCCCTGAAAAAGGGCCCTTCATTCCCACTTCTTGTTTCCTGCCCATGAGCCAATTAAGTATCCAAGCCTATTTACTACCTCCAACATGTTGCTCTGGAGTTTCTTTGTACTGTAGTCCTGCAGTTGGCTGTAAACACATGACCTTCAGGACTTCACTAAATTGAAGGTGCTCCATAAATGCAACTTGTTATCTCTGGAGTAACAGCCCCAAAACGGAACCTCCAAAACATCGTATTTCTGGTTCTTCTGTAACGTTTATTGGTTTTGGGTATCACTGGCCAAGCCAGAATTTGTTGCCCATCTTCGTGCTGGAGAAGACAGTGGTGAGTCGCTGTGCTTGTGGTGTAGAGATAGCCACAATGCTGTCACAGAATTTTTTTTTTAACCTCGTGATTTCTGCTGAATGTGTTAAGGAATGTGAAAAAATAGTTTGGTTGCTGAAATCTAGGAGCAGGTGTTGGCCACTCATCTCAATGCCATTTTCGCACTTACCCTCTATAGGGTGGCACAGTGGCTCAGTGACTAGCACTGTTGCCTCTTGACACTAGGGACCCAAGCTTGATTTCACCTCTGGTGACTGTGTCTCTGTGTGGAATTTACACATTCTCCCTGTGTCTCCATGGGTTCCCTCTGGGTGCTTGGGTTTCCTCCCACAGTCTGAAGATGTGCAGGTTAGGGTGGATTGGCCGTGCTAAATTGCCCCATGGTGTCCAGGGATGTGCAGGCTGGGTGAGTTAGCCATGGGGGATGTAGGGTTTTGGGTTTGGGTGGGATGCTCTTCAGAGAGCTGGTGTGGACTCAACAGGCTGAATGGCCTGCTTCCACACTGTAGGGATTCCATACCTTTCATGCCTGCTAATGTTTTTTTAGTAAAAAATTTATCAACCTCTTTCTTGAACGTGTTAAGTGAACCAGCATCCACAGCCTTCTGTGGTAGAGAATCCCACAGGTTCACTATCCTTCTGAATTAAGAAATGTTTCCTCATCTCGGTCCATATCCTGAGACTGTGACCACTGGTTCTGGACTCTCTCCAACCAGGGGAAAGCTTCTCCCTGCTCCAGTCTGTCCAGTTGTTAGAATTTAGTATATTTCAATCGAATCCCCCTCATTCTCCAAACCGCAGTGTAAACTGCTCCAGCTGAACAAATCTCTTAAGTGACAGTCCTGCTATTCCTGGTGAGAGAGAAAATTTCAATTTGTGATGGAGAATGTGGCCTTGTGTCCCTGGCTGCTTGAAGCTATTCATCCAGACTGTGAAGATCTTCATTTGACTTTCTTTCTTTCTTTCTTTGCTCACAGATGGCAATTACCTGGCCATTGGATCACATGACAACTATGTTTACATATACACAGTGGCCGAAAATGGCAGGAAGTACAATCGAGTGGGAAGGTGTTCCGTAAGTAATATAGTGGGCTCCCTCCCCCCACCACAGAGCTGGTCAATGCATGATCGAACTACAGAGAGATTCTGGCAATGTATCTAAACAAACTGAGATAACAAGGCGTGGAGCTGGATGAACACAGCAGGCCAGACAGCATCAGAGGAGCAGAAAAGCTGACGTTTCGGGCCTGGACCCTTCTTCAGAAAAAATGAAGAAGGTTTTTCTGAAGAAGGGTCCAGACCTGAAACGTCAGCTTTCCTGCTCCTCTGATGCTGCTTGGCTCGCTGTGTTCATTCAGCTCTACACCTTGTTATCTCCGATTTTCCAGCATTGGCAGTTCCTACTATCTCTATCTAAACAAACTGTGGCTTTCTCCCTCAACATTCTCTTAACAACAAATGTGACCAGTTTTTAGAATTTTAAGAGTGAGAGAGGAGAGCCATTTGGCTCATTGTTCTCTTGGAGCAGTCCTTAAGGTAGAGTGTATTGTGCTGCCATTTGAACCAGTTGCTTTGGGTTCAAGTCCCACCCCCAGGCTGGAAGGCTCACCTCTGCTGTTAAAACACCAAATACCTCAATTATTAAAATCCCTCATGGGTGAGGGGGCAATGTCTTCCACCTTGCTCCTGCACACTTGTATTTCTTCTTGGGGTTGCGTGTGAATTCTCCAAGCATGAGTCCTCTCTCCCATCCTCAACTGTTCTGTTCTCCTGTTCCGAGGGACCGTGAGCGTGTTGATGTGGTGTCTCCCTGTTTGGGCTGCTCACTTGTCAAAGTTTATCTCTGGCAACTCGGGAGGCAAGTTGAGGGACACCACTCTGTTTTGACTAAATGCAAAATACTGTTGATGCTTGCAATCTCGGGGGCAAAAAAAAACAAAAATTGCTGGAGAATCTCCGCATCTGTGGAGAGAAACAGTAGGATTCTTCTCAGGGACAGGAAGGGCTGGGAAATGCTGGTTTTTAAATGCTACTGTCATAAGAGTTTTTACAACACAGAAAGACACCCTTTGGCTCATCATATCCACACCAATCATCAAGCAGCTATCTATTCTAATCCCATTAAAACCCAGACTCCAGTTCTTTAGAACAGTCATGTGTGTTCTGAATTCTGAAGAAGCATTATGTTGTACTTAATGTCTCTGTCCATGTCTCCCTGTCAGCAACTATGGAATTCCTCCAGCAGTTCCTGTTTTATTACAATATTTTGGCTGCTCTTTCCAGAAGAGGGATGGGGAAATCTATCTTTACCTGAATCCTGACCAAAGAATTCTTATTCTGGTTTAGGGACACTCCAGTTTTATAACTCATCTGGACTGGTCAGCTGACAGTCGCTATATAGTCACAAACTCTGGAGACTATGAAGTCCTCTTCTGTGAGTACGGAGAGTTTCTAACATTGTTGGGAAATTCTGCAGATGCTACTTGTACGTGGGGAAAGTCTTCACAAATGTCTGTTCTGTTATTTAGACAGTAACTATGTCAAGTGTATGGCTCCTACCTGGCATGCTGTTTTATTGCAAGGGGGATGAAATGTAAAAACAAGGATGTTTTGCCACAATTGCATTGCACATTGGTGAGACCATATCTAGAGTAATGCATACAGTTTTGGCCTCCTATGTTCTTTTAATAAAAAGAACATAATTACTCTAGAAGCAGTTCCAAGAAGGTCCCGTTGACTGGTCCCCGAGAAGGGTGGGGGTTCTCTTTGTATGGGGAGGTTGGATAAATAGAGTCTGTATCCATTGGAATGGAGAAAGATGAGAGATGATATAACTGAAACATGTAAAATCCTGAGGGGAACTTGATGGCATGGATACTGATAGACCGCTGCTTCTTTCTGGGAGAGGTTAGAACCAGGGGAAACAGTTTACAAATGATGGGGCTTCCATTTCAGACAGATTAAGAGACTTTCTTTTGGGTTAGAAAGTTCTGAAGACTCATGTGGTGATGCCGATGTTGGACTGGGGTGGACAAAGACAGAAGTCACATGACAGAGTTGCAGTCCAACAGGTTTATTTGAAATCACAAGCTTTCAGACTGTAGCCCCTTCATCAGGTGAAGTGAGACAGAAGCACACAGAACATAGAACTTATGGGCAGAGAGATCGAAAGATCTACAATTTATGTGCGTGAAGTATCAGATAATAAGTGTCTGCAGGTTACCAAGAGTGTTAGACAGTGAATAAAGTGTCAACAGCTGAATAACCAGTGAAGGGATGATCTATAATCTGACTAATTGAGGCAGAGAGATAATTACAAAACACTATAAAAATAAGGTGGTGCTGGAGCCAAACCAAATGACTGGAATAAAATGATAGGTATAAGAGTCGCATACCGAGAGTCTAACCAAAGTAATAAATCCAAAACTCTGCAAACTAATCAACGTAGAGAGATCATAACAATTTATCAAGGTGATGGTGTCAAAATAGGACAGTAAGGAAGATTTTAAAGACACCAGACATGTGTGGGGTCACATGTAGTGCGACATGAACCCAAGATCCCGGTTGAGGCCGTCTTCTTGGGTACAGAACTTGGCTATAAGTTTCTGCTCAGCAATTCTGCGTTGTTGTGTAACTCAAAGGTTGCCTTGGAGGATGCTTACCCGTAGATTGGAAGCTGAATATCCTTGACCACTGAAGTGTTCCCTGACTGAGAGGGAACATTCTTGTCTGGCAATTGTTGTGCGGTGTCCATTCATCCATTGTCATAGCATCTGCATGGTTTTGCCAATATACCATTCCTCAGGGCATCCTTGCTTGCAGCGTATGAGATAGATAACATTGGCCAAGTCTCACAAGTATCTGCCGTGTAAGTGGTGGGTGGTGTTCCCACATGTGTTGGTAGTGTCCTTGTTGATGATCTGACATGTCTTGCAGAGGTTGCCATGACTGGGTTGTGTGGTGTTGTGGCCTATGTCCTCCTGAAGGCTGGGTAGTTAGTTTGCTATGAACAATAGTCTATTTAAGGTTTGGTGGTTGTTTGAAGGTGAGAAGTGGAGGCATGGGGAAGATCTTGGTGAGAGGCTCATCATCATTGATGACATGTTGAAGGCTACAAAGAACATGGCGTAGTTTCTCCACTGCGGGGAAGTACTGGATGACAAAGGGTACTTTATCGTTTGTATCCTTTCTGTCTTGAGTTCATTGAAGTTTTTCACTGTGGCATGGCAGAACTGGTGAGCGATGAGTTGAGCATTGTATCATTTTCTAATGAGGGCGTCCTTCAAAATCTTTAGGTGCCTGTCACATTCCTCCTCTGAGCAGATCCTGTGTATGCATAGGGCTTGTCCATAGGCAATGGGTTCTTTTAATACATTTAGGGTGGAAGCTAGAGAAGTGCAGCATCGTGAGATTATTCGTGGGCTTGTGTTAGAGTGAGGTACTGAGGTGTTGGTCCTTGATCGAGATGCGTGTCCAAGAATGAAACTGATTCTTGAGAGTAGTCCATGGTAAGTTTGGTGGGATGAAACTTGTTGATATCACTGTGTAGTTGTTTCAGTGATTCCTCGTCATGAGGCCAAAGGAAGAAAATATCATCTATGTAGCTGGTGTGTAGTGTTGGTCGGAGGTGCTGCACAGCAAAGAAGTGTTGCTTGATCTGGTGCATGAAATTATTGGCATATTGGGGAACAAATTTTGTCCCCATTGCTGTTCTGGTTGTCGGAGGTGAAGACATTGTGTGGTCGAGGGATGAAGCGGATGAGTTGCAGGATGGTGTCTGGAAATTGGCAGTTGTTGGTATTGAGTACTGAGTTCCATCATCGTGGAACATGCTGGTGTAGAGTGCCAAAACGTCCATTCCATTGTGATGAGGAATGTTCTTGGTTCAACTGGTCTGCAGGTGTGAAGTTTCTTTAGGAAATACGTAGTGTCGCGACTAAAGCGGGGGGTTGCATGTAGAATTGGTTTAATGATGCCCTCCACATAGCCAGAGAGGTTCTCACACAGGGTCTGATTGCCTGATACGATGGGGCATCCAGGTGTGTTGACTTTGACTTTGTGTATCTTTGGAATGCAGTAGAAGTCTCCTATGTAAGAAGTACGTGGGATGAGATTTTGGTGATTAATTAGAGGGTCACAGGATTTTGGGATAGATCAGAAAGTGAAATTGAGGCCACTATACGATTTGCAATGATCTTCTCAAATGATGGAGCAGCTCGAGGGGCTGAATGGCCTACATTTTAAATTTAGTATGCACATTTGTAACTCTTTGATCTTGATGTTATGATAAGTGGTAAAGAGTTTTTTTTTAGAACCGTAGTTTAAAAAATAAAGAACTACGGGTGCTGGAAATCTGAAACAACAAAAACCAAAATTGCTGGAGAACCTCAGCAAGTCTGGCAGCATTTGGGGAGAAAGAAAGCAGAGTCAAAAATTTCATGTCCAGTGACCCTTCATCAGAAACTCTTGTTAGAATGTCAAACAAGATTTAAGGGCTACTGGACCTGAAACAATTGACTCTGCTTTCTGCTGCCAGATCTACTGAGTTTCTCCAGCAATTTCTATTTCTGAACTGTTTTTAGTCTGTAGCTATCTAAATGCTGTGCATGCCACTTAGAAACTGGGTCAGCACTGACACAAAATCTCTTTAAACCAAATCCTCATTATCCATGGGGAGTAGGAGTTTGGATCTCCCATGGATACCACCAAATGTGAATACTGCTGCAATGTACAATGTAACTATCCTATCTGCAGTGAACGCCCACGTCATCAGACTGGATGAGTCAATGGGGCGGAAAATAAGCAGGTTGTAGACAGTGAATCCGTGGATAACAAGGAGTGAGTGCACTAGTTTGGTGTATACTGATTAGGAGACCATTCAACCCCCCAGTCCTGTGTCTCCAGTCAAAGCACTCCTGGCTGATTTTTGTCACCTATCTTCATATACCATACCTGTTCTGTTCTTTTTATTTTGATGGAGATTGGCTCATAGATCTCTCTCAGCAAAAGTTGGATCTTTTTGTCCCTACGTTGTAGCCCATGTTGTGGTTTTGCGATTCTGTTTCTTTCCTTCTGTAAGGCTTGTGTCTCTAAGTGAAATCTCTAACTGTCTTCCCTCCAATAGGGACTCCTAACTGTAAACAGGTGACGAGTGTGGATGTGGTGCGGGACTTGGAGTGGGCGACCTCTACCTGTGTACTCTCCTTCCAGGTCTTTGGTGAGTATTAAACTGGGGTCTGGCTTCTCCACTTATTCAAGCCCTATATGTCAGTACAGAGATGTAAAGCCATTAATTTTGACAATGGCATTAGTAGAGGAAACCATTCAATGCTGGCTTCCTGGCATCAATGTGTGTGGCTGTTGCATTCCACTGGTAACCACTTTGTGGTTTTTTTTTTAATATATTGACGACTGATGGTCTTGTGAAGTCCTTAAACTTTTATCTGCCATTTTGAAGGCAAAGCACCAACCACACACAACAGATTGGTTAACAACGTGTAAATTCATTTTCGGTGAAGTATATCCAGCACCAGAGCATGAGAACCACCTTCCTTTACAGAACTTGCAACTGAGCAACTCCGTACAAAGAGAAACTGAGACTGCTGCATTGCAATAGCGGCCACCCCAGATCCCTGATTGGCAACGTGGGGGTGCAGTAGTTTTTGGCTATTTGGCAATGGCAATCAGAATGCCAGGGCATGTCCAAACAGTGTGAAGGAATGAAGGATGGGTAGCAGCAGAAAAGTGTGTACAGGAAGTCCCACCATGTCCCACGGAAGGACAGGATAGAGGCATGTCTAATAGCAAGGGTGATGTTTAGTCTCTTTGTAGCTGCTGTAGCCACTTTGAGCAGACTGGTAGGAAATGAGATGGTTAAACTGCTTAGACTGGATGCCTGTGTACATCTCATCTCAGTGTGTTTGTATTATTCTTCTTGTGGAGGCGCTGGTGTTGGACAGGGGTGAACAAAGTCAGAAGTCACACAACACTAGGTTATTGTCCAACAGGTTTATTTGAAATCACAAGTTTTTGGAGCACTCATAAGGATGGCAGCTTCCTTCCCTAAAGTTCATGAATGAACCAGATAAGGTTTTTCCCAGCAATCCACAACGACTTTATGGTTATCATTAGACTCTTAATTCCAGACTTTTTTTGTTATTGAATTCAAATTCCACCATCTGTTGCAGTTGGATTCGAACCTGGGTCCTCAGAACATTAAGTCTAGCTCTGAATAGTCACTTAATGTTAGCTCGTGCTCGTCCTCCATGAATGCTGCCTGACCCACTGATCTCCAGCATTTGTTGCTTTCAGTACAGATGTCAGCATCTGCAGTAATTTGCTCCTTAGAACATTACCTGAGTCTCTGGATGAATAGTCTACTGATAATACCACTAGGCCATTGCATCCTCCTCGTGGGCACTGTCCCAGTGAGCACTGAGATGACCCCATTCCTGTTGTGATTTTTCCCAGGTGTCTGGCCAGAGGGAGCAGACGGGACCGATATCAATGCCATTTGCAGGTCGTCTGACGATCAACTCCTTGTCACAGCGGATGACTTTGGGAAAGTGAACTTGTTTTCCTATCCGTGCTCGCACCCTCGGGTAAGTTTAGAGTGAATATTGGGAGCTAGCGGTCTCCCTCAATATGCAGCTAATGTGCAATTACTACTGCTGCAGCTTGTAACGCTCTCGCTCCTCTATAGCTCATCTACAATTTTTCAGTGATATCTATCATCCAGCCTGCACCCAGGTCAACCCCGCTTCACCCTCAATCAGGGATCTCTGCAACTTCTCTGCTCTGATCCAATGGCTGAAGTGCCTTTTTTTTAAATTCTTTTTTCTTTTCTGAACATCACCTTTTTTTTTCTAAGAACCCTTTTCCCTCTTGCATGTTCAAGCATTTTCTCCTCTTTCAAAGAGGAGGCCTGCTGGGCTATGACTTTAAATTCTGGTCCAGATTTTCTGATGGCCAGACAGTCGTCCATCCATCCTGCAGAGCAGAGTCTGAGGGAACTGCTTGGGTTTCTGCTGTGCAATTCCCCTACACCTGGAACTTACTGAAAGTCTCCCTTTTAATAAACTGGAAAATTGCGCGGATTCCACTGGAATTCAGTAAAGTAGTTACAGAATCATGGCAGCACAGAAAAGGTTCTTCAGCCCCATCCAGTTTGCCCGGACAAAAATTACTTCAAACCTGCACTAGGCCCATAGCCTTGAATGTTATGACACTTAATGTGCTCATCCACGGGTGCACATTTTAAAAGGATTTGAGGTTTCCTGCCTCAAGAACCCTCCCAGGCAGTGTGTTCCAGATTCCTAACACCTGGAAGATGGGGGATGGGGGAATGAAAATTTCCTCAAATCCCTTCTAAACTTCCTGCCTTTCACCAATTTTTTTTTTGTTCAAATCTATGCTTCAGTTGCTGCTAATGTTCAAGAGATTGATGCCTCTTTTGACACTTAGAAATCTATTAAGGATATGGGAATAGCATAGGAAGATAGCACTGAGATGGAGCAGACATGATCGAGTGAAATGGCAGAGCTGACATGCAGGTCAAAAGAGCCTCCTCCTATTTCCTTTCTTGATCTGGCCTGAATGACCCCTTTATCATAGTTTCCTGCTGCCTGCAAAGGCCACTGTTTTTGCCTTTAAGAAGCTACATGGAGTAGCTCTTGGCATTTTTTATTTCAAAAATATACTTTGGTCACAAATCTTTTAATATACATATATTGTCACAAATGCAGTTCAGTTCAGTGTGGGAGCATATCAAGTAAACATAAGGGTTTGACTCTATCTCAACAAACTAAAGGTATCCCTTACACATACAGGACTTTATTTACACGCATTTGAGGCACCGGGAGGGTCCAATAGCTGAACAGACCCCCACTTACCTCCAGCAGGACGACCTCCGGTCTTTCCCCACTCCTGCCGCAAGCTTTGGCGCGTAGCCCTTGGCATTCAGTCAGTTCAGTAGGAGTTGTTTTGGTTTCACTGTATTTGGCTTTTTTTTCGCTGTTTGGCTTGGGGTTTTTTTAAGAAAGCTCATGGTTGCAACATGATGACTTTTTTCTCTTTGCTACCTCAGTGCCAATTTTGTACAGACAAATCCATATCGGTTTCCTGAGACAGAGCAAAGTGTGCGAATTCCACTTACTGTGCTGTGATTCTTCCTGGCAGTTAGTCAGTCATCGATGTACAGCATGGAAACAGACCCTTTGGTCCAACTAGTCCATGCCGACCAGATATCCTAAATGAATCCAGTCCCATTTGCCAGCATTTGGCCCATATCCCTCTAAGCCCTTCCTATTCATATATCCATATATCCATCCAGATGCCTTTTAAATATTGTAATTGTACCAACCTCCTCCACTTCCTCTGGCAGCTCAATCCATACACACCCCACCCTCTGTGTGAAAATGTTGCCCCTTAGGTCCCTTTTTTTTTTAAATCTTTCCCCTCTCACCTTAAACCTATGCCCCTCTAGTTTTGGACTCCCCTACCCTGGGGAAAAGACCTTGGCTAATCACCCTATCCATGTCCCTCATGATTTTGTAAAGGTCTATAAGGTCACCCACCCCCACCCCCACCCCTTCCCCCTCTCCCAGCCTCCAACACTCCAGGGAAAATAGCCCCAGCCTATTCAGCCTCTCCCTATAGCTCAAACCCACCAACCCTGGCAACATCTTTTCTGAACCCTTTCAAGTTTCTCAACATCTTTCCCATATCAGGGAGACCAGAATTACATGCAGTAAAATTCTCTGAAAAAGAATTCTATCAGCCTACGGCTTTGTAATGCGGTTTTACTGACTAGTTTGCTTTAATGTAACAAAATAATGGCTACTTCTGAAAGACCAGTTATCTTGCTTCCCGTTAACCTGGGTGCTCAAAATTAGTTCAATGCCTTTTTTTTCTATTGATCTTGCTCACTTCCCTCTTTTATCCTGCCCGCATCATCTCGGTCCTTCTGAGATAACAAGGTGTAGAGCTGGATGAACACAGCAGGCCAAGCAGCATTAGAGGAGCAGGAAGGCTGACGTTTC